CCTTGTGCAGTAATTTATCTGTAACAGAATTTCAGCATAATGCCAAAATCCTGAAGCCACTTGTTTCCACTCAAACGAATGCACAAATGTTTTATTTTTTAAAAGTATATGAGTGTTACAAAATTAGGTGACATTTATTTCATATGTTATGGAAAGCCACTGGTTATGCAGACCATTTCAAGCAAATTAAAACTACTGCTGACATTATGTTGTTGCATAGTTAGATTATTTCAATGCTAAGCTTAATATAATTAAGATGTCTGAAGGTGAGGTTATTAATTAATAACACACCAGCTGTCTGCCACCGTGAAGGTGCCAAGAGGTAGTTTGGGGAGGAGGGGCTTTATTCTTCCCCCATCATCTCCATCAGCTAACTCATATTACAATAAATTGTTTATCAGTACTAAATCCTCAAGATGCTTCATTTTAAGAGTAATTCTTTATTTTTGAGATAGTATGTCATTATACAGTCAGAGGAAATTTTCACCCTTCCAGCATCCAGACCCCAGATATGAAACTTGTTCACAGGCTCCAAGAATTTTCAAAAACATTTTTGTTATTTTTTCTTATGAAATGGTAGAGAATCTTTTTCTAAAGGCATTAAAACAAAAAGTATGAAATTTGATGAAAAATTAGCAAATTAGGCTTTCACAAATTTTGCTGCATCAACAATATTCATGTGATGGCGATTTTGCCCACTTTGACTCCTATTTTAGGTCAATTACATTGTTCTGGTCGACCAAATTCTTGTCTATTATGCTACTGTGCCTTCCATTGTATCGACTGAGCACATGAAACTGCCCAATCAACTATTTTAACTACCCAATAAAGTGATCAGAAATTGGTAATTTGGCCAATTTCACACAAATTTCAAAATATTCCAGTTTCAAAATAGGGTCCAGAATAAACAGTTCAGGCATTCCTGGCACTAACATTTCCTCTGTTTATTAGTTATATTTCCAGGTTTTACACATGAATTCCATTTTTATTTTTTATTCACAATGAGTTTTTATTCACACCAAAAAATAGATTTACTGTAGAGCAATATTGTAATAATTGTATACATTCATGAAAGCATATTTGACCCACCAATTCACATGTATTGGACACGTAATGTGATTTGTTTACTCCTTGAACATAAGCAAAAGTCAAACATTTCCATTACTTTGAGCTTAATTTCAAGCTATTTTCCATCCTAAAACCAGTCAAAATCATATCTATTTCTGTAACATATCTTCCATTCTGTCAAATAAGATCAAGAAATCATAAGTACAACCATAAAAACCACATGAAAATATGCTATAAAGTTGCTGTTTTAAACCAAAAACACAGTCACAGTTTTTTCTCATTATGTACTTTGTGCTGCATGATATATTTTATATGGTGCACACTTCCCACATTCTCTCGTATCTAGGCCCAAGTTTACCACTCACAGCTTATCTGAGTGAGCTGAGCTCATCATGTAGTACTATGGCACTGACCCTGGCTTTAAACCCGTAGAACAACAGCATGGACCCTGAAACATTAAGTGTTGTACTTCATTAAGTGTGACATTGTAATAGAAAAACACATCAGGATTATGCTATCACTTTACTACTTACATTTGCTAAGAGGTTCAAATCATACCATGAGGCTTTCATAGATCTGTATATGCTGGTGTGTATCAGTGTAAGTTTGCTGTTTAATCCTGCAGCATGTGAACGCATTTTTCCTGCTGGTGGCTGTTATAAACCTGTGTGAGCAACAACAGTGGTGATAGCAAAATAAGTCATATTACAGTATATCTATATACAGTGGAACCTTGGTTTTTGTATGTCCTAATTGGAGAGAATTCTTGGAGAAAATTCTCTATAAAATGTATTTTTTGTTAATGCTTTTGGGTGTCTGGAACAGAACCATTTAATCCGTTCCAGACGCCCAAATATATCAACAAAAAATACATTTTATAGAGAATTTTCTCCAAGAATTCTCTCCAACTAAGGCATATGAAAACCGAGGTTCCAATGTATTTGAAATAAGCCAAGAGTCTGAATGCTGAAGGTGTCATTGATAGTTTTGCTTCTGTCCATAACTTCATAACACGAAGCCTTTTATTTGAGAGTACTGTAGAATGAATATTGTAGTACTGTAGAATGAATGCTGTAGTATATTGCTGTATATCATTAACCCTTTCAGGGTTGGTGCCGTACTAGTACGGCTTGCACGACAGGGTTGGTGCTGTACTAGTACTCATAAATTCTAGCGCCTTCAGATCTAGCAAGAGAAAGTTGGTAGGCCTACATATGAAAGAATGGGTCTATGTGGTCAGTGTGTGCAGTATAAAAAAATTCCTGCAGCACACAGTGCATCATTAGAAAAAAAAACTGACTGTGTTTTTGGTTTAAAACAGCGACTTTGCAGTGTACTTTTGTGAGCTATTTATGGTTGTATTATAGTTTTCCTGGTCTCAGTTTATAGAATGGAAGCATACTACAGAAATTGAGATGATTTTTATTGGTTTCACAATGAAAAGTACCTTGAAATTGAGTTCAAAGTAGCAGAAATGTTCAATTTTTGCCATAGTTCAAAAGTAAACAAATCATGCCTTGCATCCAATACATGTCAACTGGTGAGTCTAATATTCTTTCACAAGTGCGCTGATATTAATTATACCATTTCTACTCCATTTCTACACTAATGCAGTAGTCTGCATAACAGTAAATCTTCTATTTTTTGTGAGAATAAAAATTCAAAGTGGAAAGCAAAAGAATGGAAGAGGGGCCTGGGGGTGTGACTAATGAACAGAGGAAATGTTATTTTAGTGCTGGGAATGTCTATCTTGTTTATTCTGGACCCTATTTTGAAATTGGCATCTTTTGAAATTTGTTTGAAATTGGCAAAATTGCCAATTTCTGACCACCTTATTTGGTAGTTGAAATTGGGAAATGGGTAGTTTCTTGTACTCATTCGATAGAAAAAAGGGAGTTCTAGCAAAATAGGTATGATTTTTGTCGACTGGTACGTTGGAATTGGCCGAAAATAGGGCTCAAAGTGGGCGAAATTGCTGATGCGTAAACATCGCCGAGACCGCTAGCTTCATGAGAGCATAATTTCGTTTTCCATCAAATTTCATACTTTTGGTGTCATTATGATTAGGAAAAGATTCTCTATCATTTCATGAGAAAAAATAATTTTTTTTTTTCTAAAAATTTCCGACCCTGAGAACAAGTTTAGGAGAGGCCCTGCTGACCCTGAAAGGGTTAACCACTTGACTGTTGCAACCCCAAATCCTGAGGTGTCTCCTGGTGTCGCAAAAATTAAAAAAAAAAAAATTCTTATGAAATGATAGAGAATCTTTTCCCGATGGTAATGACACCAAAAGAATGAAATTTGATGGAAAACTGATGGAATTACGCTCTTGCAAAGTTAGCGACTTCAGCGATATTTATGAATCGGTGATTTTGCCCATTTTGAGCCCTATTTTTGGCTAATTTCGTTGTTCCAGTCAACCAAACTCATAGCTGTTTCTTTAGAACTCCATTTTTTCTATCGATTGAGTACAAGAAACTGCCCATTTACCGATTCCAACTACCCAATAACATGGTCAGAAATTTGCAATTTGGCCAATTTCACGAAAATTAAAAAATATGACGATTTCAAAATAGGGTCCAGAATGAACAATACAGACATTCCTGGCTCTAAAATAACATTTTCTTTGTTCATCAGTCACATCTCCAGGCCCCTCTGATATTACTCTTGCTTTCTATTTTTAATTTTTATTCAAACAAAAAATAGAAGATTTACTGTTATGCAGGCTACTGCAATATTGTAATAATTGTATAAATAATGTCAACCCATTCATGACTGCATAGTAGAATGGCTAGTTGGACATTTATTGGACAATGACATCATTTGTTTACTTTTGAACATCGGCAAAAATCAAACACTTCCGTTATTTTGAGCTCCATTTCAAGGTTCTTTTTATAGTGAAACCAATCAAAATCACCTCTATTTCTATAATATGTTTCCCATTCTATCAAATGAGACCAAGAAAACAAGAATACAACCATAAATACTATACGAAAATAAACCGCAAAGTCGGCATTTTAATTAAAAAAAAAAAAAGTCGGAGTTTTTTTTTCTCATCATGCACTGCGTCCTGCAGAATTTTTTTTATATGGTGCACACTGACCACACAGACCCATTCTCTTACATTTGGGCCTACCAGCTTTCTCCTTGATTTGAAGCCGCTAGAATTTATGAGTGTACATGTATATATATATACGTGAAACACGGTGGCTCGTAAGACGTATACTTATGACCGAAACAGTCAAAGGGTTAATAAAGGCTAGGTAAATAAAATTATTTGGATGGCTTGCATACTGATGTAGTTTCATGTAATTATTGATCTTATTCTAAAATATGGAGAGTTGCTTCCTCTTACGTAAAGTGTGAATACAAAGATCTGTAGAATATTTTGCTATTTTCATTGACATTTAACACACACAAGTTGTCAGCTTTTTTTTCAACAATCCGGCTGTATCCCATCGAAGTAGGGTGGCCCAAAAAGAAAAACAAAACTTTCTCTTTTTAACTTTAGTAATGCATACAGGAGAAGTGGTTACTAGCCCCTTGCTCCCGGCATTTTAGTCACCTCTTGCAACACGCAGAAGTAGCAAGACATATCCGAAATCTTGCATGTTTATAAGACAGAAAAAAGACACCAGCAATTCTACCAACACACACAAGTATAAGCAGTATGTTTGCTTTTCTTGCTTGCTGTTGGAAGCCTCCTCTATTCAACAAGATTTTCACCTCCTATGCCCCACCTGTTCTGAAGCTTCTGGTCTCCCACCAAGGTAGGGTGACCAAAAATAAAGGAAAAATATTTAGTAGTTGTCTTGCCAGTTGTCATAATTCATATGACTTTCTGAGCTGGAGTACAGTGCAGGCACTGTACTTCCCATCTCTAGGACTCAAGCCTGGCTATCCAAGTTCTCTAAGTCCCTTCATAAATATTGATGGTAGAGGTAATTGATGATGATGTGATAGTTGATATGGTGGTAGAGGTGTTTGATGTTTTATTCAAAGTGGTAGTTGATGTAGTGTTGATAGAATTAGGTGATACTGTACTTGAAGAGGTAGTTAATATTATCAGGGTAGACATAGGTGATGTAGTAGATGGCTCATATTGCAACAGCACATTAAGTCATAAAGGTGACTTACCACCACTCCTGTCTACCAACCTGCTGCTGGATGCTTAAATCCTAGTACTCATTTCCTTATCAATCCAACCCTTCCTGGGACTAGCTCTACCCTTCCTTCCACCCCCTATATTTATTTACCCTCTTGGATAAATAAATATAGGGTGGAAGTGCTCTAAATTATACTTTTGATAACCCAACATTGCCATATAATATTTTTCTTACCTTAATGACTGTCTCCCACCAAAGTTGGGTTTCTTTTAAAAAGAAAACACATTTATTATCACTTATTCAATTTCTGTCATTCCACCTTATGGGTTGTCCCTGAATCTTGTCCTAAAAGTTGCCTTGCTTACTCTCCAACAGCACATCTATTGAAAGTCATTGGTCCATATATACTCCTATCTAACATGCTCACACAAGCCCCTAAAACTCAAAGCCTCTTTTATCCCTCCCTCCAACCATTCCTTGAATGATCCCTTTCCCTCCCACCTCCCCCCCCCAGATTTATACACCCACTTTGCAACCTATTCCTGCCCATCCTCTCTACATGCCCAAACTATCTCAACAATCCCTCCTTAACCCTCTGGATTATACCCTTGGTGATCCCACTTTACCTTTTAATTTTTATGCTCTGAATTTTCTGCATGATATGCACACCATGCATTCCTCTCTAACATGACATCTCTGCTGCCTCTAGCTTCCTTTTTGCCATAGTGTTGACAACCCATGCCTCACACTCATATTTCAAGGTGTTGAATTATTTGTTGGTACTAATATTCTCTGGTACATAAGTTTTTTTTTTATTTTTTGACTTGCAAGTAATCTTCTTTTCGCATCATATTTTATCTTATTGTTTACTGAAGTATAGTTGTTATCCCCAACCCAGTCATAATTGTATTAGTACAGTAATTTAATTTTAGTTCATTTTTCCCACTGTAATGTTCATATTTATGGACTTTCGTAAATTTATTATGTAAGTGATACAGTCTCTGCTCACTTAACGACATATTCGTTTACCGACGACTTGGACTTACGACAGGCTCGCTGACCAGTATGCATACCTAAATACGTAATGTATATTAGAGCTGATTTCCTCTATTCTTTTTATTACAATAGTATACAGTACACTGCTGTATAAACATTTAAAAATATACCAGAAATGTTATAAATGGTGCAAAGGTGACATTAACCCTTAGACTGTCCAAATGTAGATCTACATTCGCTCGTGTAGTGCTCCGAACGTAGATCTACGCTTTTTTTTACATGCTTTCAAATGGAGAAAATCAAAGTCGGAGCGCTACACGCGTAAACGTAGATCTACGTTTGGACAGTTTAAGGGTTAAAACAATGTCAGAGACAGTTGACACAAACCCACTACCATTATAGTATGCTCCTCACTTAGCGACGAATTTGTTTACCGATGTGGTCTTATGAACCGAACTCCATCGCTAAGTGAGGAGAGGCCATATTTGATGCCAATATCAACATGTATGTACTGTTATAAAAGAAACTAGTATTATAAAACTCAGTAACATATAAGTGAAACATATAAGTGAACAGTATTTAGATAAGGCTAAAGAGGTCTTTGTGGCATTTATGGATTTGGAAAAGGCGTATGACAGGGTGGATAGGGGGGCAATGTGGCAGATGTTGCAAGTGTATGGTGTAGGAGGTAGGTTACTGAAAGCAGTGAAGAGTTTTTACGAGGATAGTGAGGCTCAAGTTAGAGTATGTAGGAAAGAGGGAAATTTTTTCCCAGTAAAAGTAGGCCTTAGACAAGGATGTGTGATGTCACCGTGGTTGTTTAATATATTTATAGATGGGGTTGTAAGAGAAGTAAATGCGAGGGTCTTGTCAAGAGGCGTGGAGTTAAAAGATAAAGAATCACACACAAAGTGGGAGTTGTCACAGCTGCTCTTTGCTGATGACACTGTGCTCTTGGGAGATTCTGAAGAGAAGTTGCAGAGATTGGTGGATGAATTTGGTAGGGTGTGCAAAAGAAGAAAATTAAAGGTGAATACAGGAAAGAGTAAGGTTATGAGGATAACAAAAAGATTAGGTGATGAAAGATTGAATATCAGATTGGAGGGAGAGAGTATGGAGGAGGTGAACGTATTCAGATATTTGGGAGTGGACGTGTCAGCGGATGGGTCTATGAAAGATGAGGTGAATCATAGAATTGATGAGGGAAAAAGAGTGAGTGGTGCACTTAGGAGTCTGTGGAGACAAAGAACTTTGTCCTTGGAGGCAAAGAGGGGAATGTATGAGAGTATAGTTTTACCAACGCTCTTATATGGGTGTGAAGCGTGGGTGATGAATGTTGCAGCGAGGAGAAGGCTGGAGGCAGTGGAGATGTCATGTCTGAGGGCAATGTGTGGTGTGAATATAATGCAGAGAATTCGTAGTTTGGAAGTTAGGAGGAGGTGCGGGATTACCAAAACTGTTGTCCAGAGGGCTGAGGAAGGGTTGTTGAGGTGGTTCGGACATGTAGAGAGAATGGAGCGAAACAGAATGACTTCAAGAGTGTATCAGTCTGTAGTGGAAGGAAGGCGGGGTAGGGGTCGGCCTAGGAAGGGTTGGAGGGAGGGGGTAAAGGAGGTTTTGTGTGCGAGGGGCTTGGACTTCCAGCAGGCATGCGTGAGCGTGTTTGATAGGAGTGAATGGAGACAAATGGTTTTTAATACTTGACGTGCTGTTGGAGTGTGAGCAAAGTAACATTTATGAAGGGATTCAGGGAAACCGGCAGGCCGGACTTGAGTCCTGGAGATGGGAAGTACAGTGCCTGCACTCTGAAGGAGGGGTGTTAATGTTGCAGTTTAAAAACTGTAGTGTAAAGCACCCTTCTGGCAAGACAGTGATGGAGTGAATGATGGTGAAAGTTTTTCTTTTTCGGGCCACCCTGCCTTGGTGGGAATCGGCCGGTGTGATAAAAAAAAAAAAAAAATATTTTAAAAGTTTGTTATTTAAGAGTTTTTGTTCGTACATACTGCATGCAGAAACTTGATTGTCTTTGTTTCATATTGGTTTCAGATTTTTCTTTCGATGAAGGATCGTGGTCATCGTGGGCTTGGTCACTTGGGTCAGCGCTCCTTCCAGTTTACTGGGAAGATGAAGAAAATGCTGTGTCAGCTCACAGGCACCGTCTTAACAAGACACTGCATATGGGCCTTTATGTGGAAACTGCTACCTGGACTTTTAAGGTGTGTTATTGCCTTTATTGTCACAGATGTGGATGCTACTCTAGTATGGCATTATAAATACTGCTGAAAGTTCACTAACTATAGAAAAAAATTTATTAATTGCATCCAAAATTATAAGCTTACAATTTTGAATATTCCCTGGTTCAAAATTGCAAAATTATAGCCCCAACTTCTCTGCTTCTTTCATGTTTAAATGAATAACAGTTGTTCATAGTTATTATAATGCAACGTTTAGTTCTTACTGGATGGTCTGGTAAACCATTGGAATTCCTCGGTTAAATAATTAAAACATTTACCGAGTAGTTTATCATGTAAGACCCACATCAAGAAAAAGGTTCTTACTTCTCCTAATATAAAAATGAAACTTACCTCTTAAATCATTAATAAGTTCTTTAACCCTTTCAGGGTCGACAGGCGCTCTCCCAGATTTGTTCAAAGGGTCGCCAAATTTAAAAAAAAAAAAAATATTTATTTATTAAACATAGGTCTAGATGCTACTCTAAATTTGGTTGCTACTTAAGGCAACTGACAGTACAAATAAGAGAAGCTGTGAGGTTGGGAGGCAGTGAGGGAGAGAAACATTGTTTTGTCAGAGGCAATGTGGTGGTTAGGCTGACATTTCTTCCCACACTTTTATCTTAAATATCATCACAAAATCTTACTTCACTGATTTCTGATTTCCAGTTTCCTGTGTAATCCTACTGGGTTCCATTATTAGTGACAAATTACATGGGAAAGATGGGGGGAAAAGGAAGAAGTCAGATAAAACAATACTGTGAGACAACATTTACACAAAGATAGGTGCTGGTCGGCTGTAAGATGTCAGCAGTATATTGTAAATGCCAAAACATGATGCCTTTTTACTACTGCCAATAATCAGAGATAGTGACTACATACATCAACAAGTGTTCAGTGTGGCTGAAACACCTACTTTCTTTTGTAAAGATAGAAAAATAAGAAAGGGAAGTAACTTAATGATATGTGCAACCATCCTTATGATAACTTACTGGCAACACTGACTACACCAAATTTTTGTTACCGAGATCTGGCTTAAGGTGGGTAGTGGTATCACCACTACCCTCAGCTACATCATGAGTGTCTACTATCATATTCCATCTCCAGTTCAGTTATATTTATTATGATATATACTTAAGAGGGTTATGATGTTTACTGGCACTCAGCACTGATAGTTATTGGAAACAAACTCATGTGCAGTTTAATGTGATCCTTTATTGACAACATTTTGCCCACACAGTGGGCTTTTTCAAGTCACAAACAGATCTACCTGGGGTGGAAGGTACAGGAGTATTTAGAGTTGGGTTCAGAATGTTGAGGTCAGGTGGAGAATGGTGCATCTGATGATCTACCGGGCGGGTAGATCATCAGATGCAGCATTCTCCACCTGACCTCAACATTCTGAACCCAATTATAAATACTCCCGTACCTTCCACCCCAGGTAGATCTGTTTGTGGCTTGAAAAAGCCCACTGTGTGGGCAAAACGTTGTCAATAAAGGATCACATTAAACTGCATATGTGTTTATGCTTCCATTATGTCGGTATTTTATACCATTTATTTTCACTGATAGTTATTGCTGATACATTCACTACTACATAATACTGCACTCCACGTCCTGGGTCAGTGTTCAAGAGTTCTTCTCTTCATTTTTCTGTAATTGTGGAGTCTCCAGGAAAATAGCCCTTGCTGACATGGAGTCTTCACTGTATACTTGTATTTCAGTAGGAATATTTTAATCTAATTATTATTATGCAGTATATCTTTTAATACTTAGGTATTTGTAGTTTATAAAAACAAGTTACATATTTAAAATATATTTCATTGTATGTGAATAATTTAAGCTCTGCATCATTTTTAGTTAACAGAATCGGTTCAAGATAGTGGATATTTTGGACCAACGAAGATGCGATTTACACCATTCATGCGAGTTGAGCACCAAGGAAGCTTTGCTACTGTTGTTGTTCGGGGTTTAGAAGCAGTGAATGTACAACTTGGCATATCAACACTCACTGTTGATCCAGTAGGCCACTGTATGTGTGGCATTCAAGATATACAAGATGTGAGTTATGCCACTTATTTAAACTTCATTAATGAAGCTGTGAACTGTGTATGACATAAGGATAATATTCTCCAATATCTTCACTTTAAACGTGTTTCATGTTTTCAAGATGTTATTTCTCTTGCTTTAAAACTTAATGAAAAGCCAGGTGAAAGATGCATGAACATTTGTTAAGTAGATACAGTATTAACAAACAGGAGAGATGAGGGAATGCTCTCTGGCATTTATGGTGACCCTATTACATGTCATGTTTGAAGAGAGGACTGCTAATTATTTCTTTAGAAAAGTTAATACAGTGGACCCCCGCATAGCGATCACCTCCGAATGCGACCAGTTATGTAAGTGTATTTATGTAAGTGCGTTTGTATGTGTATGTTTGGGGGTCTGAAATGGACTAATCTACTTCACAATATTCCTTATTTATTTATTTATTATCACACTGGCCGATTCCCACCAAGGCAGGGTGGCCCGAAAAAGAAAAACTTTCACCATCATTCACTCCATCACTGTCTTGCCAGAAGGGTGCTTTACACTACAGTTTTTAAACTGCAACATTAACACCCCTCCTTCAGAGTGCAGGCACTGTACTTCCCATCTCCAGGACTCAAGTCCGGCCTGCCGGTTTCCCTGAACCCCTTCATAAATGTTACTTTGCTCACACTCCAACAGCACGTCAAGTATTAAAAACCATTCGTCTCCATTCACTCCTATCAAACACGCTCACGCACGCCTGCTGGAAGTCCAAGCCCCTCGCACACAAAACCTCCTTTACCCCCTCCCTCCAGCCTTTCCTAGGCCGACCCCTACCCCGCCTTCCTTCCACTACAGACTGATACACTCTTGAAGTCATTCTGTTTCGCTCCATTCTCTCTACATGTCCGAACCACCTCAACAACCCTTCCTCAGCCCTCTGGACAACAGTTTTGGTAATCCCGCACCTCCTCCTAACTTCCAAACTACGAATTCTCTGCATTATATTCACACCACACATTGCCCTCAGACAATATTCCTTATGGGAACAAATTCGGTCAGTACTGGCACCTGAACATACTTCTGGATTGAAAAAATATCGTTAACCGGGGGTCCACTGTATTTGTAATTCTTGTACAGGATGTGAGACTACGAAATATAATGTACTATACACCTACCATCCGACTTACGACCTGCTCGACATACGACCATTCGACTTATGAACTGTTTGTGTTGCACACAGTGTTTATCCTAAACCTTGCAGTATAAAATACAGTACTAACAGCATAAAAAGTAAAGTAAAAAAGTTAGCATATGAGAAGTTTTTACAAAGTAGAAGTGATGCAAGGAGGGAAGAGTATATGGAGAAAAAGAGAGAGGTTAAGAGAGTGGTGAAGCAATGTAAAAAGAGAGCAAATGAGAGAGTGGGTGAGATGTTATCAACAAATTTTGTTGAAAATAAGAAAAAGTTTTGGAGTGAGATTAACAAGTTAAGAAAGCCTAGAGAACAAATGGATTTGTCAGTTAAAAATAGGAGAGGAGAGTTATTAAATGGAGAGTTAGAGGTATTGGGAAGATGGAGGGAATATTTTGAGGAATTTGGGTTAAATGTTGTTGAAGATAGGGAAGCTGTGATTTCGTGTATAGGACAAGGAGGAATAACATCTTGTAGGAGTGAGGAAGAGCCAGTTGTGAGTGTGGGGAAGTTCGTGAGGCAGTAGGTAAAATGAAAGGGGGTAAGGCAGCCGGGATTGATGGGATAAAGATAGAAATGTTAAAAGCAGGTGGGGATATAGTTTTGGAGTGGTTGGTGCAATTATTTAATAAATGTATGGAAGAGGGTAAGGTCCCTAGGGATTGGCAGAGAGCATGCATAGTTCCTTTGTATAAAGTCAAAGGGGATAAAAGAGAGTGCAAAAATTATAGGGGGATAAGTCTGCTGAGTATACCTGGTAAAGTGTATGGTAGAGTTATTATTGAAAGAATTAAAAGAGTAAGACGGAGAATAGGATAGCAGATGAACAAGGAGGCTTTAAAGGAAAGGTAGGGGTGTGTGGACCAGGTGTTTACAGTGAAACATATAAGTGAACGGTATTTAGATAAGGCTAAAGAGGTCTTTGTGGCATTATGGATTTGGAAAAGGCGTATGACAGGGTGGATAGGGGGCAATGTGGCAGATGTTGCAAGTGTATGGTGTAGGAGGTAGGTTACTGAAAGCAGTGAAGAGTTTTTACGAGGATAGTGAGGCTCAAGTTAGAGTATGTAGGAAAGAGGGAAATTATTTCCCAGTAAAAGTAGGCCTTAGACAAGGATGTGTGATGTCACCGTGGTTGTTTAATATATTTATAGATGGGGTTGTAAGAGAAGTAAATGCGAGGGTCTTGGCAAGAGGCGTGGAGTTAAAAGATAAAGAATCACACACAAAGTGGGAGTTGTCACAGCTGCTCTTTGCTGATGACACTGTGCTCTTGGGAGATTCTGAAGAGAAGTTGCAGAGATTGGTGGATGAATTTGGAAGGGTGTGCAAAAGAAGAAAATTAAAGGTGAATACAGGAAAGAGTAAGGTTATGAGGATAACAAAAAGATTAGGTGATGAAAGATTGAATATCAGATTGGAGGGAGAGAGTATGGAGGTGAATGTATTCAGATATTTGGGAGTGGACGTGTCAGCAGATGGGTCTATGAAAGATGAGGTGAATCATAGAATTGATGAGGGGAAAAGAGTGAGTGGTGCACTTAGGAGTCTGTGGAGACAAAGAACTTTGTCCTTGGAGGCAAAGAGGGGAATGTATGAGAGTATAGTTTTACCAATGCTCTTATATGGGTGTGAAGCATGGGTGATGAATGTTGCAGTGAGGAGAAGGCTGGAGGCAGTGGAGATGTCATGTCTGAGGGCAATGTGTGGTGTGAATATAATGCAGAGAATTCGTAGTTTGGAAGTTAGGAGGAGGTGCGGGATTACCAAAACTGTTGTCCAGAGGGCTGAGGAAGGGTTGTTGAGGTGGTTCGGACATGTAGAGAGAATGGAGCAAAACAGAATGACTTCAAGAGTGTATCAGTCTGTAGTAGAAGGAAGGCGGGGTAGGGGTTGGCCTAGGAAAGGTTGGAGAGAGGGGGGTAAAGGAGGTTTTGTTGTGCGAGGGGCTTGGACTTCCAGCAGGCATGCGTGAGCGTGTTTGATAGGAGTGAATGGAGACAAATGGTTTTTAATACTTGACGTGCTGTTGGAGTGTGAGCAAAGTAACATTTATGAAGGGGTTCAGGGAAACCGGCAGGCCGGACTTGAGTCCTGGAGATGGGAAGTACAGTGCCTGCACTCTGAAGGAGGGGTGTTAATGTTGCAGTTTAAAAACTGTAGTGTAAAGCACCCTTCTGGCAAGACAGTGATGGAGTGAATGATGGTGAAAGTTTTTCTTTTTCGGGCCACCCTGCCTTGGTGGGAATCGGCCAGTGTGATAATAAAATAAAATAAAATAATAAAAAAATGAAATACCAAAAAAAAACAATAAAATAAAGTCATTACAAAAATGTGATGCTAATATTCAGTAGTAAGGTTCGACTTATGTCCATTTCAACTTACAACCGGTTGGTCGGAACTGAATTCGGTCGTAAGTTGGATGGTACCTGTTTTTGTAGATGTGCTCTTAGGCTAACAAAAAAATTCTTGTTCCTAGGGTAATGTTTCTGCTGGTCAAGATCAAACTATTCCAGTAAAAATTGAATCGTTCCTTAGCATTGGACAGGAGGGCCAAGAATATCTTTCTCGGTCATTATTCGATCCTCAAGTTCTGATGGAAGCTCAAGAGCTTTGGGAGTACTCATATTCCTGGGATAAACATATTAAGGAGACTACAGGTTCGTGATTAATGTTTTACAGTGAATTATTATGTACCTAATTCTTGTGTAGTGGTTATGGTAATTATATTGTAGTACAGCCTCTCCTCACTTAGTGACGTACTCATTTACCAGACTCAGACTTACGACAGGCTCTCTGACCAGTATGCATACCTAAATATTGTATGTTAGAGCTGATTTCCTCTGTTCTGTTTATTACAATATACAGCATATTACTGTAAAATTTATTTTATTTTATTATTATCACACTGGCCGATTACCACCAAGGCCGGGTGGCCCGAAAAAGAAAAACTTTCACCGTCATTCACTCCATCACTGTCTTGCCAGAAGGGTGCTTTACACTACAGTTTTTAAACTGCAACATCAACACCCCTCCTTACTGTAAAAACGTTTAAAAAAAGATACCAGAAATGTTATAAATGGTGCAAAGGTGACATTAAAGCAACATCAAAGATGATTGTAACAAACCCACTGCCATTATAGTATGCTTCCCACTTAGTGATAAATTCGTTTACCGACGTGGTCTTAGGAACGAAACTCCATTGTTAAATGAGTGGCTGTACTTATGGTAATTAAACATTATGCACATAGCTATAGTGTTGCAATTATAAGTACTGTATGATTAAAGTCTTCTTTTAACTAACCGGTCTTATCCCACCGATGCTATGGTTAAAGTAATGTAGTTTTTTATTAAACACTCTGGTTGTCTCCCACCGAGGCAGGTGACCCAAAAAGAGAAAGAAACACTTTCACTATCATTCACACATAATTGCTGTCTTTGCAGAGGTGCTCAGATACAACAGTGCAGATGTCACTCCAAACAGCCAATATTCCAAACTCATCCTTTAACCTTTTCAGTGTGGAAACTTCTGCTGCTCGCAAGCATGCTAATGGTGTTGAAGAATTAAAAAAAAAAAAATTCTTATGAAATGATAGAGAATCTTTTTCTGAAGGTAATGAAACCAAAAGTTCAAAATTTGATGGAAACTTAGTGAATTACGCTCTCGCAAAGTAAGCAATCTCGGCAATATTTATGCATGGGTGATTTCACCCACTTTGAGTCCTATTTTGGGCCAATTCCTTTGTTCCACTCAACCAAACTCATAGCTATTTTGCTAGAACTCCTTTTATTCTATCAATTGAGTGCAAGAAACCATCCATTTACCTATTTCAACTTCACAAAAAAGTGATTGCAAATCATTAATTTGGCAAATTTCACACAAAATTCAAAATAGGGTCCAGAATAAACAATGCAGACATTCCTGGCACTAAAATAACATTTTCTCAGTTCATTAGTCATGTCTTCAGGCCCCTCTTACATTACATTTGATCTTAATTTTTAATTTTTATTCACACAAAATATAGATGATTTACTGTTCTTCAGACTACTGCATAATTGTAATAATTGTATAAATAGTATCAGCACATTCGTGAATGCATATTAAACCCACCAGTTGACGTGTATTGGATGTGTGATGTGATTTATTTACTCTTGAACATCATCAAAAATCTAACATTTCTGCTAATTTGAGCTCAATTTGAAGCTACTTTTAGCCAGTAAACCATTTAAAATCACCTCCATTTCTGTAATATATTTTCCATTCTATCAAAAGAGACCAAGAAAACGAGAATACAACCACAAATACCATTTGAAAATACACCGCAAAGTTGCAGTTTTAACCCTTTCAGGGTTGGTCCCATAATGTTACGGCTTTGAAGCCAGGGTTGGTCCCGTAATACTGCGCCAAAATTCTAGTGGCTTCCAATTTAGCAGGAGAAAGCTGGTAGACCTATATATGAGAGACTGGATCTGCGTGGTCAGTGTGCACAGTATAAAAAAAGTCCTGCAGCATGCATTGGATAATGAGGAAAAAACTGCTGCCGTGTTTTTGGTTTAAAACAGTGGCTTTCCAGTGTATTTTCACATGGTTTTTATGGTTGTATTCTTGGTTTCTTGGTGTCTCATTGGATAGAATGGAAGATATATTACAGAAATAGAGATGATTTTGAATGATTTACAGCCTAAAAGTAGCTTGAAATTAAGCTCAAAGTAGTGGAAATGTTCGATTTTTGCCAGTGTTCAAGAGGAAACAAATGAAGTCGTGCATCCAATACACGTAACTAGCCAGTCTAATATGTACTTAAGAGTGCATTGACATTACTTATACAATTATTACCATTTTGCGGTATTCTGAATAACAGCAAATCTTCTATTTTTTGTGTGAATAAAAATTCAAAATGAAAAGCAAGCATAATAGAAGAGGGTCCTGGAGACATGACTAATGAATAGAGAAAATGTTATTTTAGTGCCAGGAATGTCTACATTATTTCTTCTGGACCCTATTTTGAAATTGGCCTTTCTTGAATTTTGTGTAGAATTTGCCAAATTAGTAATTTCTGGTCACTTTATTTTGTAGCTGAAATCATAAATGGGCAGTTTCTTTTTTCACTCAATCAATAGAAAAAAAGGAGTTCTAGCTAAACAGCTGAGAGTTTGGTAAAGTGGAACAATGGAATTGGCCCAAAATAGGGCCAATTGCCGAGACCGTTAACTTCGCAAGTGTAATTCTGGAAGTTTTCCATCAAATTTTGTGCTTTTAGTTTAATTACTTTCAAAAAAGATTATCATTTCATGAGAAAAAATATTTTTTTTTTAAATTCTTTGACCCTGGGAGCAAGTTTGTGAACAGGGGTCTCTACTCTTAAAGGGTTAAACCAAAAACATAAACACAGTTTTTTTTTTCATTATGCACTGCTTGCTGCAGGATTTTTTTATACTGTGCACACTGACCACGCAGACCCATTCTCTCATATGTAGGCCTACCAGCATTCTGCAAGATTTGAAGCTGCTAGAGTTTTGGCTTTGTATTATTGGACTGACACTGGCTTCGAAGCTGTAATTTTATGGGACTGACACCGAAAGGGTTAAAGTGCAGGCATTGTACTTCCCACCTCCAGGATTCAAGTCCGGCTAACCGACTTCCTCATGAATCCCTTCGCATTATTACTCTGCTCATACTCCAAGAGCTCGTAAAGTCCCATAGACTATTCATCTCCATTTACTCCTGTCTAATACACTTACACATGCCTGCTGTATGTCTAAGCCCCTTTCTTACAAAACCTGTTTGCTTTCCTACAATTTTGATTTGCTAAGTACAAAGATAGCCACTATCATGCTGGGGCATTTTGGGGAGACTAATCCTAATACATAGTAACTAGTTTTAATTAGTTACTGTGTATTAGGATTAGTCTGCCCAGAATGCCCTGGCATGATAGTGGCTATCTTTGTACTTAACAAATCAAAATTGTGATTACACATTGTTTTTTTTTTTTTTTTAACAAGTCGGCCGTCTCCCACCGAGGCAGGGTGACCCAAAAAAAAGAAAGAAAATCCCCAAAAAGAAAATACTTTCATCTTCATTCAACACTTTCACCACACTCACACATTATCACTGTTTTTGCAGAGGTGCTCAGAATACAACAGTTTAGAAGCATACACATATAAAGATACACAACATATCTCTCCAAACTGCCAATATCCCAAACCCCTCCTTTAAAGCGCAGGCATTGTACTTCCCATTTCCAGGACTCAAGTCCGACTATATGAAAATAACCAGTTTCCCTGAATCCCTTCACTAAATATTACCCTGCTCACACTCCAACAGATCGTCAGTCCAAGTACCATTCGTCTCCATTCACTCCTATCTAACACGCTCATGCACGCTTGCTGGAAGTCCAAGCCCCTTGTCCACAAAACCTCCTTTACCCCCTCTCTCCAACCCTTTCGAGGACGACCCCTACCCCCCCCCTTCCTTCCCCTATAGATTTATAATGCTTTCCATGTCATTCTAATTTGATCCATTCTCTCTAAATGACCAAACCACCTCAACAACCCCTCTTCTGCCCTCTGACTAATACTTTTATTAACTCCACACTTTTTCCTAATTTCCACACTCAGAATTTTCTGCATAATTTACACCACACATTGCCCTTAAACAGGACATCTCCACTGCCTCCAACTGTCTCCTCACTGCTGCATTTACCACCCAAGCTTCACACCCATATAAGAGTGTTGGTACTACTATACTTTCATACATTCCCTTCTTTGCCTCCATAGATAACGTTTTTTGACTCCACATATACCTCAACGCACCGCTCACTTTTTTTCCCTCATCAATTCTATGATTAACCTCATCCTTCATAAATCCATCCGCTGACACGTCAACTCCCAAGTATCTGAAAACATTCACTTCTTCCATACTCCTCCTCCCCAATTTGATATCCAATTTTTCTTTATCTAAATCATTTGATACCCTCATCACATTACTCTTTTCTATGTTCACTTTCAACTTTCTACCTTTACACACATTCCCAAACTCATCCACTAACCTTTGCAATTTTCTTTAGAATCTCCCATAAGCACAGTATCATCAGCAAAAAAGTAACTGTGTCAATTCCCATTTTGAATTTGATTCCCCAAAATTTAATCCCACCCCTCTCCTGAACACCCTAGCATTTACTTCCTTTGCAACCCCATCTGTAAATATATTAAACAACCATGGTGACATTACACATCCCTGTCTAAGACCTACTTTTACCGGGAAGTAGTCTCCCTCTCTTCTACACTCCCTAACCTGAACCTCACTATCCTTATAAAAACTCTTTATAGCATTTAATAACTTACCACCTATTCCATATACTTGCAACATCTGCCACATTGCTCCTCTATCCACTCTATCATATGCCTTTTCTAAATCCATAAATGCAATAAAAACTTCCCTACCTTTATTTTAAATACTGTTCACATATATGTTTTCAATGTAAACACTTGATCTACACATCCCCTACCCACTCTGAAACCTCCTTGCTCATCCACAATCCTACATTCTGTCTTACCTCTAATTCTTTCAATTATAACCCTACTGTACACTTTTCCTGGTATACTCAGTAAACTTATTCCTCTATAATTTTTTACAGTCTTTTGTCCCCTTTCCCTTTAT